TATATATATATATATATATATATATGGGCATTTATGCACACACACACACACACGTTATTCTACCTCTTTTATTTCCCTACCCAGCAAAACTTAGTCAATTGGTTTGGTTGGCTTAGCCACATTTTGTTTGATGCTTATTCAGTGAATTAGACAACGATTGTGTTTGCTGGCATATCATGTGCTTGTGTTTCGGTAACTGTTTTCTGTCCAGGGCAAACTTGCCTCACTTAAGCCTGGCCATTTTAAGAGAGCATTACTAGCGCAGTTGCTACTGTTTCCTGTTAGTAGAGATTGTCCTCTCCTCTCTCCTCTCCTCTTCTGTCCTGTCCTGTCCTGTCCTGTCCTGTCCTGTCCTGTCCTGTCCTGTCGGCCCTGGGAGTTCAGGCCTTCCTTCCCTTTTGTTGGTGTTGAAGGCCAAAGTTGTAGCGATTACGAGTTGGCTGTTCCGAAAATGTATGGCCCATCGGTTTGGCTCTCTTTTTATGCTTGAACTGTTCAGGAGGCAGTTTAAAAATAGGTTGTCTTGACGCAGAAAGTGCATCTCTTCTTCTCCCACGTGGCTTTTTAGCCCTTAAACTTCACAAGATGTTGTTAAGCAAAGCTTCGCTCATTAAGCGACATGTAACTGTTGCCTGCCCCACCTTCAGAGGGTATGCGCTTCGCTGAAGGGCTCTATTCAATTTAACTTGCTGTTTCGGCGCCAGTTTTATGGTAAAGATGTGCTGAAGCCGTCTCATCAAGTTGGTACACTTTCGTGACGACGAAGAAGCCAATATCGGGTATCTCTACCACCTCCTTTAAGTGGGAAACTTTTGTAATCTCGAACATTGTGACTAACCGTTTGGCCTAAATTAGTGGGACACAAAAAAGTGATTGTCTTCGCTATGCTCAGCTACGATGAACTGTGAGCTGGGCAGAAAGGGAAAGAGGAAAAAATGTGACTGCGGATGACACCTTTTCATATGAGTTGATGTGTCTGTACTACTTCAAGAGAAGGCAGGCAAGGCTCTAATTGCTGGTAGTCCCTAAACTCTACTTATACACAAAAAATAAGGCCAGAATATGCCGTGAATGGTACAAAAATATCCATCTCATTGTCCAGACCGAGTATACTTGCATTTTGAGTCACCATCTTCTGATCATCATCTTCTGATCTTCTGGCTACGATCTGAAAGATTTTTGATAATCAGACTCTATCAACGGATTCTAACCAAAGTTTTACAATTAAGGCCAGTTCAAGATCCATCGAGATAGTGGATGCTTCAAATAGCCATACCAAGTCTGTGGAAGAAAAGATGCTCAACTTTCCTTTCCCACAAGGTCAGCCAGACGGGGTTTCTCAGATTTCCCTTCCACCGTCTGAGTTGTGGGTAAGCTGGTTTTCTGAATAATGAACGCGGAAATTTCATGTCCAACCTCAATTGCTTTTACTGAGAAGCACCGTTTTATATATTGAGATTATATTTTTCCCAGCTTAATACACAATGGAATAAGTTTGTATGTGCTTCTGTCTGTGTGTCGGCATATT